GTCCGCAGTCTCTGGTCATCTCCTGTACTGTGTTCGCAGTCTCTGTCATCTCCTGTACTATGTCCGCAGTCTCCGGTCATCTCCTGTACTGTGTCCGCAGTCTCCGGTCATCTCCTGTACTGTGTCCGCAGTCTCTGGTCATCTCCTGTACTGTGTCCGCAGTCTCTGGTCATCTCCTGTACTATGTCTGCAGTCAATTAGTCCAGAATTTTTTTTTCCTGTTTTCTGCCTCTAAAACCTAGGTGCGTCTTATGGAGCGAAAAATACAGTAACTTTCACACCTGAAATCTTAAATGAACCACAAATCATCTAATGTCTCCATTTTTTTTTGTCTAACTCCTGTATCATGTATTATGTCTTAATTGTCTCTTTTTTGTTGCATACTAGTGAAGTGCTTCTTCTTTTCCAGATCTATCCTCAGGAGCGTCACAGTATTCGGGTCCCTGAGTCAGGAGAACATTATGAACTGCACCTCCTATATTACCTGCAGGAAAACCTGGGCTCCCACATAGCAGTTACCAAAATCCTTGTGAGCACAGTGTTAGCGGTGCTCAGGGTGGGAAATTGGGAGTGCTGCTCCCCCTGCTGCCGGCAAATAAAGGCACCTGTACACCCCATACACACAGCTTCCTTCTAGACAGACTTTCAGAGGAGAGGAGATGGAAGGCGTAGTATCTATTACCTGCAATGATATCCAACACAATGTACCTGTCAAAACGGATAACAAACCCGGTGTCACCGCTCATAACTGCATTTCTCGTTTCTGAGGGAATCTGTGTTACCTCCGACACTACATGTCTTCTCGCAGATATGATGTGGGCTTTTCGCACTTGTTTTTGTTTTCTATCCCATTTTAGCCACATGCGGTCCGGCTGAGCTGTAATGTAATGCTATATGGAGGACATTCATGAAAATAACTCTTTTACAGGTGACTCTAAAATAATGTCGTGATTGACCTTCTTTAAATCTTTACCTAGACCAGGGGTAGGCAACCTGCGGCTCTCTAGCTGTTGCGGAACTACATTTCCCACGAGGCATTGCAACATTACAAAACTGACAGTTACAGCTATGACTTGCAGAGGCATGATGGAACTTGTAGTCTTGCAACAGCTGGAGAGCCGCGGGTTGCCTACCCCTGACCTAGACACATTTTGGAGCTAGCTTGCCTATATGTATATGGAATACTTTGATCACCAACTACTCAAAGCAGACCTAGGGTCTCCCTTTAAAAAAAAAACGCCATGAGAGATACACAGGAGCTGCTGTTGTTGACCTTCAGAAAATGCTATTTGCCCGGCTGTTATATTGACCCATCAGCTATAAGGCTACTTTCACACTGATTTTTAGCAAAAATGCATATGCATTTTTACAGCGTTTGTGGTGCGTTTTTTTTACAGGACACATGACTCAAAAACTGATCACCAACTACTCAAAGCAGATCTAGGGTCTCCCTTTAAAAAAAAAAAATGCTATGAGAGATACACAGGAGCTGCTGTTGCTGACCTTCAGAAAATGCTATTTGCCCGGCGGTTATAGTAACCCATCAGCTATAAGGCTACTTTCACACAGTGTTTGTGGTGCGTTTTTTTTTTTTTACAGGACATGTGACTCAAGAACTGCACCAAAAACACAACACTATGCGTTTTTGCAGCTTTTTCCTTTGATTTCAATGGGGAGGTGCGTTCTTGGTTCCTTTTCTGTACTGCACCAAAAATGCAGCAAGCAGGATGTAAAAAAAACGCATCGGACCCGCGTATAAAGTCCCATAGGAAAACATGGTCATACGTTTTTATTCCACTCTTTTTTTTTTTTTAATGCAAAAGCGTAAAACAAAACTGATTGGTGTGAAAGCAGCTTAATACATAAAGGATAAGTTCATCATTGAAGCATGTTACATGTTCCACCCGATTTTAGGTTAGAGAATGTAGCATGTTACAGCATCTGCAGCCTCTTCCCCCTGCTCCCCCCGTTCCCCAGTCCCATGACAGTACATAAAGGATAAGTTCATCACTGAAGCATGTTACATGTTCCAGCCGATATTAGGTTAGCATAAGTAACATGTTCCGGCATCCACAGCCTCTCCTCCTGCTCCCCTCCCCCACTTCCCATGACAGTACGTAAAGGATAAGTTCATCATTGAAGCATGTTACATGTTCCACTCGTTTTTAGGTTGGAATATGTAACATGTTCCAGCATCTGTAGCTTCTCCCCCTGCTCCCCCCCCCCTTCCCATGACAGTACGTAAAGGATAAGTTCATCACTGAAGCATGTTCCACCCATTTTTATGTTAGCATGTTACATCTGCAGCCTCTTTTTATGGTTAAAGGATAAGTTCATCATTGAAGCATGTTACATGTTCCACTTGTTTTTAGGTTGGCATGTAGCATGTTACAGCATCTGCAGCCTCTTCCCCCCCCCCCAGTCCCATGACAGTACGTAAAGGATAAGTTCATCATTGAAGCATGTTACATGTTCCACTTGTTTTTAGGTTGGAATATGTAGCATGTTACAGCATCTGCAGCCTCTTCCCCCTGCTCCCCAGTCCCATGACAGTACGTAAAGGATAAGTTCATCATTGAAGCATGTTACATGTTCCACTCGTTTTTAGGTTGGAATATGTAGCATGTTACAGCATCTGCAGCCTCTTCCCCCTGCTCCCCAGTCCCATGACAGTACGTAAAGGATAAGTTCATCATTGAAGCATGTTACATGTTCCACTCGTTTTTAGGTTGGAATATGTAGCATGTTCCAGCATCTGCAGCCTCTTCCCTCTGCTCCCCCCTTCCCATGACAGTGGGCCAGTGATCTTCTTCCCGCACCCGCTGTCACTATTTAAAAACCGCGCTGCTGTGCCGGACTCCACCCACACGGCTGCGTCATTCACGGTTTCCCGCGAACGAATGCCTACAAGTGCCGTTACTCATTGCAGCTGACAGCTTGTAGTTCTCAATCACTGCAAGGGCACCGGAGAGCCTCCATGTAGTCCATTGACCTTCCTACCCTCAGGTAACTGCCTGCCTGTACGAGGAATGAGCAGACAGCTGTCCTGAGAGTCTGCACATTGCACCTGTGATCATCTGATTTTAGATGCAATGCTCTGCAGGGTCCTTTAGAAAAAAATAATAAATGCACTTTTTTTTTTTTTTTATACCTGCAAAAAAAAAAAAAAGTGCATTTATTTATTTATTTTTAAAAAGGTGAACTTATCTTTTAAAATCACTGGCCTGGAGCAAGTATGCAGATGAGGAAGTGAGGAAATCACTGGCCTGGAGCAAGTATGCAGATGAGGAAGTGAGGAAATCACTGGCCTGGAGCAAGTATGCAGATGAGGAAGTGAGGAAATCACTGGCCTGGAGCAAGTATGCAGATGAGGAAGTGAGGAAATCACTGGCCTGGAGCAAGTATGCGGATGAGGAAGTGAGGAAATCACTGGCCTGGGGCAAGTATGCAGATGAGGAAGTGAGGAAATCACTGGCCTGGAGCAAGTATGCAGATGAGGAAGTGAGGAAATCACTGGCCTGGAGCAAGTATGCAGATGAGGAAGTTCAGAGGTAAGTCGGAAGTCCCTATTGGCATACTTGCTGCAGGTCAATGATTCAAGTGGAACTTTAAGGAACTTTTGCTTTTCTCTTAACAGGTTCACTTTAAGTAAAAAAAAGTAGAAGAAAGTAACAGAAGACGTGAAATGATTTCCTTGGCAGCAAAAACACTTCTGAATCCCATAGTTGTTGGCCTTGTGACCAAACTGTCACTTGGTCCCCCTGAAGGGGCGGATGATTACATCAGTGTTTGGTCGTAATAATGGCAGCCTTGAACTAATGGAGCAGCAGGTGTAACCAAGATAAAGTCACGCTTTTACGTTTTCATGAGTTTAAAGTGTTACTAAAACCACAACAGTACAATCAGTCTGTATATGCAGTAAAGCATGCTCACTGTAAAACCTAAGGGGTTAATCCTCTGCATTGTGTAAAAAGGTTGTTTGATCCTGTCTTCTCTGATCCTCCCCATCTACTGTCCCCCCCCTCTTATCTCCTGATAAGACATATTGTGTGGACACAAACTGCACATGCTCAGTTTGGTGTGTATTGCTAGAGAGGTTTCTCTTTTCTTGGGAGAGTGCATGTGATCAGCACAGGGCCAATCAGCACTGTCCAGAGGTCAGGGGTTCTGCATCCTCCTAGAGCAGAATGAAAACTCCCCCTATTATTTAACCGGTGCGCTGCTGGACACTGTTAGAAGTCACAAGACTGCTATATACTGCTGATGAGAAAAGGTATTTAGCAGTTTATATTTGCTAAAAATAATTGCATTTTCATGTTCTGTGATATAGTGATTGCAGGGTCCGGGGAGAGCGGATATAGTGAATGCAGGGTCGGGGAGGGCGGATATAGTGAATGCGGGGGGGTCCGGAAAGAGCGGATATAGTGAATGCGGGGTCCGGGAAGAGCAGATATAGTGAATGCAGGGTCCAGGTAGAGCAAATATAGTGAATGCAAGGTCCGGGAAAAGTGGATATAGTGATGCTGGGTCTGGGGAGAGCGGATATAGTGAATGCAGGGTCCGGGGAGAGCGGATATAGTGAATGCAGGGTCCGGGGAGAGCGGATATAGTGAATGCAGGGTCCAGGTAGAGCAAATATAGTGAATGCGGGGTCCGGGGAGACCGGATATAGTGAATGCTGGGTCCGGGGAGAGCGGATATAGTGAATTCAGGGTCTGGGGAGAGCAGATACAGTGAATGCAGGGTCCGGGGGAGAGCAGATATAGTGAATGCAGGGTTCGGGGAGAGCGGATATAGTGAATGCAGGGTCCGGGGAGAGCGGATATAGTGAATTCAGGGTCTGGGGAGAGCGGATACAGTGAATGCAGGGTCCGGGGAGAGCGGATACAGTGAATGCAGGGTCCGGGGAGAGCGGATATAGTGAATGCAGGGTCCGGGGAGAGAGGATATAGTGAATGCAGGGTCCGGGGAGAGCGGATATAGTGAATGCGGGGTCCGGGGAGAGCGGATATAGTGAATGCGGGGTCGGGGGAGAGCGGATATAGTGAATGCGGGGTCGGGGAGAGCGGATATAGTGAATGCGGGGTCCGGGGAGAGCGGATATAGTGAATGCGGGGTCCGGGGAGAGCGGATAGTGAATGCAGGGTCCGGGGAGAGAGGATACCGTGAATGCGGGGTCCGGGGAGAGAGGATACCGTGAATGCGGGGTCCGGGGAGAGAGGATACCGTGAATGCGGGGTCCGGGGAGAGAGGATATAGTGAATGCGGGGTCCGGGGAGAGCGGATATAGTGAATGCAGGGTCCGGGGAGACCGGATATAGTGAATGCAGGGTCCGGGGAGACCGGATATAGTGAATGCAGGGTCCGGGGAGATCGGATGTAGTGAATGCAGGGTTCGGGGAGAGCGGATGTAGTGAATGCAGGGTCCAGGGAGATCGGATATAGTGAATGCAGGGTCCGGGTAGAGCGGATCTAGTGAATGCGGGGTCCGGGGAGAGCGGATCTAGTGAATGCAGGGTCCGGGGAGATCGGATATAGTGAATGCGGGGTCCGGGGAGATCGGATATAGTGAATGCGGGGTCCGGGGAGAGCGGATATAGTGAATGCAGGGTCCGGGGAGATCGGATATAGTGAATGCGGGGTCCGGGGAGAGCGGATATAGTGAATGCAGGGTCCGGAGAGCAGGTTTCAGGATTAAGGCTTGGTTCACACCTATGTTTATTGCAGTCTGCTGTGGGAAAAAAAGTCCTTGACCCTATGCAAAAATGCAGCGGCTGTAAACACATCGATGTGAATGTGTCCCATAGGAAGCCATGTTAAATGGACTGTAGTGAGTTTCTGCAAAATGTATAGGTGTGAACTAGGCCTTAAGTGTAACTTCACATCTAATGTCCCTTTGAATAGTTCATTTGGGCCAAGCTTTAAGGTTTTTTACCATAATGCATTCTATACTTCGAGGTAAAAAGAAAACCCTGTGCAGCATGATCCCCCCACCCCCTTTATTCTTACCTGAACCCGATCTGATCCAGCGATGTGCACGAGAGCAGCGCTCTCTCCCTCCTCCCTGGGCAAATTGATAGCAGCGAAAGCCATTGGCTCCCACTGCTGTCAATCAAATGCTGTGATGAGGGATCGGGGGTGTGGCTAAGCTGCCCGCTCTCTGTCAATAGACGCAGACAGGGCGGCTCGGGAGCAAGTCCTCACGGGTGTTCCTATGGAAAGCGACTTACTGTGAGGGCACTAGCCAAAGAGAAGGAGCCTGGAACGCGGGTGGGGGAACCCAGAAGAGGAGGATCATGGCTGCTCTGTGTAATACCATTGCACAGAGCAGGTAAATATAACCAAAAAAAAAAATGAAGGTTTAATGTTATTTTAATGCATTTTCTGCATTAAGGTAAAACAAATCTGCATACATCTCCCCCCTCCATTGGCTCCTGCTGCTGTCAGTCACAGCCAGGAAAAAGAGATCGGGGGAGAGGGGCTTGGGAGCAAGCACACGAGTTCTCCCATAGCAAGCGGCTTGCTGCAGAGATAGAGGAGCCAGGAACCCCATCAACGGACCTGAGAAGAGGAGGATCGGGATAACTGCAAAACCATTACACAGAGCAGGTAAGTATAACAAAAAAAAAATGAAGGTTTAATAGTATTTTAATGCATTCTCTGCATTAAGGTAAAAAAAAAAAAATCTGCATTCAGCTCCCCCTACCATTGGCTCCTGCTGCTGTCAGTCAAGGCCAGTAAAGAGATATGGGGGGGAGCTCAGGAGCAAGCACACATGAGTGCCCCCATAAAAAGCGGCTTGCTGCAGGGATAGAGGAACTGGGAACCCCATCAATGGACCTGAGAAGAGGAGGGTCGGGATAGCTCTTTGCAGAACCATTACACAGAGCAGGTAAGTATAACAAAAAACAATGAAGGTTTAATATTTTAATGCATTCTCTGCATTAAGGTAAAAAAAAAATCTGCATTCAGCTCCCCCTGCCATTGGCTCCTGCTGCTGTCAGTCACAGCCAGTAAAGAGAGATCGGGGGGTGGGGCTCGGGAGCAAGCACACATGGGTGCCCTCATAGCAAGCGGCGATAGGTGAGCCAGAAACCTCAGCGAGGAATCTGAGAAGAGGATCGGGATAGCTCTGTGCAGAACCATTACACAGAGCAGGTCAGTATATGTTTGTTGTTTTGATGTAAAAAAAAAAAAAACTGAGCATTCACAATCGATTTAATACAGCGCACTCAGCAAGAGCACCTGTTCTGTAAATAGTTTGTTTTGTTGCTTGGCCCAAATGAACTATTTTAAAGGGACATTATATCCGGAGTTATGCAGGCCATAGACGGGTCGAAAACCATCCGTTTCTTAAAAAAAAAAAACTAAAAAATCGGTCGTTCGATCGGCCGACGTTACCACCAACGGTAAAAAAAACCAGCCGATTTTCGTCCCATCTACGACCGGCATTTAATTACTTCTGTCCCTGCAGAGAGCTCCGCTATTATATTTGACATGAAAAAGTATTGCGGTTGCAACAATGTATCCATTTCAGATACAGATGGTTTTATTCGGATACAAATGGATACATTGTTGCAACCGCAAGACTTTTTCATGTCAAATATAATAGCGGACTGGAATTCTTTTTCTTCTTCTTTTTTCTTCTTTTTTCTTCTTCTTGCAGGCCACAGCTCATGCACAGATTTTTTATCGGTAAAAAGCTCAGCCAGATTTTTTATTTGCCCCAATTTTGCCCATCATTGCCGCAAAAAAATTCGGCCAATTTTTTTCCAACTTTACCGATAAAAAAAAGTGCCAAAATCCAGAAAAACGGCCGACCAATTAACCCATTAATGGTGGGAAAATCAGCCGATATTTTTTCGTCCGAAAAATCGTCCGATTTTCGGGCCATCTGTGGCCTGCATTAGGCTGGCCATACACTACACAATTTTCTGCCCAATTTCCTTTAGATTTACCTTCAACTATGTACTGCAAGGACCTGCCTAATTGGATACAATTGAATGTGTTGTTTAGGTTTGACCTCCTATTATATGGTTTTTGGTAAATCTAAAGCAATTTTCTCAAGAAAATTGTATAATGTGTGGCCAGCCTTACTAAAACTGGAGAGTGCAAAATCTGGTGCAGCCGTGCATGGGAGCCAATCAGCTTCTAACTTCAGCTTGTTCAATTAAGCTTTGACAAAAAAAAAAAAAAAAAAAAACTGGAAACTGACTGGTTTTCTCTGCAGAGCTGCACCAGATTTTAGTAACCCAACCCCTATGTGACTGTTTATATGGAGTCCAGGTCCATTTTAGTGACAGTGATTGTGAGCTACTATGGTGAATAACAAAAAAGTGATTAATTGATTAAATTAAATAAATGAGCACACATATGGTTCGCTGACACTGAACACTAACTCATATACTAGTGCGTGTGACTTAATAAATAATATAAATACGTGTCGCGCTCCAATAATTAAATATAAATAAATAAATATTCAATATGCTATTTATCGTGATTCAAAACCAAATTGAAAAAAAAAAAATATATATGTATATATATATATGTGTGTGTGAATGTGAAAAAATAGTAATTATCCTATACAATGTGATATAATATAAAAAAACTGTCCAAATTATGCACAAAAAAAATAATTGAAATTGTGTAAAAAAAAAAAAATAAAAAATTATACACACACATATATATTATATATATATATATATTTTTTTTTTTTTTCAATTTGGTTTTGAATCACGATAAATTGTGATATAATATAAAAAAAATGTCCAAATTATGCACAAAAAAATAATTGAAATTGTGTATAAAAAAAAAAAAAATTATACACACATATATATATATATATATATATATATATATATATATATATATATATTTTTTTTTTTTTTCAATTTGGTTTTGAATCACGATAAATTGTGATATAATATAAAAAAAAATGTCCAAATTATGCACAAAAAAATAATTGAAATTGTGTATAAAAAAAAAAAAAATATTATTTTTATATATATATATATATATATATATATATATATATATATATAAAATAAATAAAAAATATATAGCATATTGGGATATATAGCATATTGAATATTTATTTATATTTATTTATTGGAGCGCGGCACATATTTATATTATTTATCAAGTCCATTTTAGTGCTGGCAGCGAACCGCACACGCTCAGAAGATAGGAGGTGGGCATGCGGAGACCTACAGAAAGGTATGGGGGGATCGTATGAACGACTTGCAGGACACGACTATATAATGAGACGCTTTTTGGACTTTGCAGGGGATGAGCTGATGGTGGTACACAGCTGAGCATTATTGTTAAAAAGTCTTCTTTACTAGACGGCACCATCCTCCTGTACATGCCGTAACCCAGGGGGGGGTGTCAAACCGGCTGTTGCCAAAACTACAAATCCCATGAGGCATTGCACGTTCGACAGTTACAAGCACGACTCCCACAGACAGAGGCACGATGGGACTTGTAGTTCCGCCACAGCCGGAGGGCCGCCAGTTTGACACCCGTGCCGTAACCTCCGGAACGATTTTCATAAATGTCCTCCAGTTTTTTTGTTTTTTTTTTACTTCAAGTGAAAGCTGTAGAAAGGGCCACCCAAGACTTTATATACGAGTTCTTGTATTTCAGTGCTTCTGGGGGACGTGTCAATGTACTTTAATTCTAACTCTGGAAAGTATTTTAGAAAGAAAACTTACTTCTGAGTGGGAATCGGAGAAGACCTTTCCAAAGAGATGACTTATCATCATGGCATTTCTGTAACTGAACGGAGATGGGGAGGGAAAAAGGGGGGGGGGGGTGCAGCTTTGCAAAGTCACTAAGCTGCAGCTGCTTAAAAGTGCCTGGATCAAACCAGTAGAGCATAGCATTTTTGGAAATTCTTTGAATTATCTTTGGTTTGGAACCTTTTTTGGGGGGGGGGTGGGTGCGTGGGTAATGGGGGTTTAACAGCTGTCTTGCAACAGTGCATATTTTTTTTTTTTTTTTTTGTTTTCTAATTGCGGTCCATCACAACCGAACAAATTCTTTCTTTCGTGGCCCAAAACCCCCACAAATCCGCTATCTGTGTGACGCTCCCTTCATCGGTGGGTGTGATTTCAGTGTATGATACCATGGCGTCGCCCACAGATCCGTGTATTCAGCTGTCATGTAAAAGCACTTTATTACATAGAAGAGGTGCTAATAACTACTTGAACATTTTTATCAATTTGGAAATTCCACCTTTTCCCAGTTTTGTCGATTTTCAGATGCATCCCTATTAAAAAACCTATTATGCTAACGGAGGTTATTCACAGATGAGCTTCGGCGCAGCGGAGGCTAACTCGCCCACGTTTCTCCCACAGTCCACATTCTGGTATACAAATACCGATCGCTCTTATACCTCACACGTTTTACCGCATGTTTTAACAAAAAAGGATCTCGGATCGAAAGCTGGTGTTGAAAGATGGAGGCTGATATGTTTTATTTTTTGTTTTGTTTTGGGTTTTTTTTTGTTTGTAAAGCCTATCATCCTTAGTCGATTTGTGTTGAATTGTATGCTATGCACCTTCCCTTTATATCAGGAATGGTATGATCCCGCATCTAGGATGGCTGTGCTACAAGGTGGTTTTTTATTTATTTTTATTTTTAATGTGTTTTTTGT